AAGCCCAAAATTCAGAACAAAGAGCCCAAAGTAAATGAGGAATGGGCTTAGGCTCAAAATGGATCGAAAGCACCCAACATAAAATGCTCCATGTCCAAGAAGATACAATCGTCATTCCTTCTCATAAACCCTAACGCAAAAACTCTGAATTAACGCAATACTACCTTCCGAATTACTTGCTACGTCCGATGGTGATGAAGGGAAACTACGATTTCGAATACGAGATCATGGTGTTATTATGTGATTTATCCATTTCCACGTTTGATAATGGCGTGGCTGTGGGTTATGCATCAATTCGGGAGAACAGATAGCTCAATCCGAAGGAGGTGGTTGAATTTCGTCTATCTGGATACTCGAGAATTAGGAGTCAGTGGATGACATCCCATTCTACGAGTTTACTTACGGCTGGAGTAAGCAATTGGATGCTCGAATTTATTTCGTGTATATCGAGAAAGCATTTTATCACACGCCCAAGATCTTTCGCAATCGCAATTCGTAAGCGTCAAGGCGCTACCATTAAGGTTTTCTTTTATTCTTTTTGAATTTAATGCTGTTTTCCTTTGAATTAGTGCACAATTACAGTATTTGAATTCCTGAGGAGGAGGAGAGATTAAAGGAATAACTTAAATGCATGCTCATGTTCACCAAACCACGCGTTTCAATTTCTGTGAGAGAATTTTTGTAGTGTAGTTTAAATGATCAGTCTGAATGTTTTAAAAGCAATCCAATCTGTCTCTTGACCTGCAAATTATCATTCTGAATTTTTGTAGTGCATTTCAGAATCTTTAGTTAGTTTTGTCCTGCAAATTAGGAACTTAGGGAAGTCAAAACGCCTCATCATGAGGCTTGTTAATCGGGTTGCTTTGCTTGATATATTTCTTGTTTGTAGGGTGTCTGTATAATTCTCCAACTGGGTTGAGCAGTACTTGCTGATAGTACCTTTATGTTATTGCCCAGAGACTATGAGTAAAGGGGCATGAATAAGCCAATCAGCAGTCAAGCCATATACCTAGCTTTTATTGCCAACAATATGAGGGGTGTTTGTTGCATAGTTCTAGTTGGTTTCCATGAGCAATTAGTGTGTGTTTGGTACAGTGAACCGAACAGGGATCACTTTTCCATTTTTGGCAAGACTTTTATGTAAACAGGTGTCTGTTCCATCCCACCTTGGTAGAAGAAGGTGGAACATACCTATATTTACCAATATAACTTCAAAATAAAACCTCATCCTAATCTAAAACATCAAATACGCCCCTCTTTACATTTTATTCATTCTTAAAATTTTATTTATTGTATGGTTTTTAAACTTTCACTTTACTATCCTTAAAATATTATTTTTATACGGTTTCTGTATTTTGATTGATTTATGTCATTTATTAAATATTAATAATAAAAAATAATATAGAAAATGTTTAAAATAAAAATTGGACACTAATTATTTTGGTGTCTTTTTAATCGTGTTGACAAAAACTTTCTAATGATATACTTTATTATTTATTAAATAATCAAAATGTATAAAATATATAAACAACTCATTAGAGGTAAATTGATCATTTTCTTTGTTCTGTCTTGTCTAGTTCTGTTTTACCAAACATTAATCAGCTGTTCTGTCTTATGATCCTATCCGGTCTGGAAACCAAACGCACCCTTAAAGAATCACTTCACATATGGTCCTTGCTAAACTGTTACTGTCAGAACAAGAGATGGGTTGATTTTGGTAGTGCAAGGTATGTGTATATATAGGCAAAGCAACTCCCGAAAACTTATTAAAATTGAAAAAAAACCATTTAACCATGTTTATACTCATATTTACACAAGAAATATTCTAATGAAATCAAGAACACGGTTCGACGTAAGAACTTATGGAGATACCTTGGCTTGTTCTTGCAAAGCATAGCAGACTAGGGGTGGGGTCTGTATAGCTCGCCTAGACGGGGAGTCAGGGATCTGGAGAGGTAGAGGATGGGGGTAAGGTTAGTGAGCGGTAGTTAGACCCCCTCTAATCCTAGTTTAGACTAGGGGTGGATAGTCCTTCATATTACGTTTTTGTGTACCTGCTTGCGTTTGTATGACTGTTTCATTTTTGGTTGCTTACTTCTAACTTGTTTTTCAAAATTTACCACCACCTTTTTTGTTTTCAAATTCTTTTTCCCCACAATATGCAAACACCGCTCTATTCTTTTGGGTGGAAGTCGGTGTACATCTCACCCCCAGACCTCACCTTCAGATAGGATACACTGAGCTTTGTTTTTCCATTTTGTTGAGCCACAAACTTATATACTATCCCATTCTTAGGTATCAGTGTGATGCACCACCATTAAGGGCCCTGCTGACTGATGACATTGAGTGGCTAATTCCCATTTGTACCCAACCAACCTCCAAACTTAGCCAGTTGGCAATGGGGATTGGCATTGGTAGGTGGAAGGAGGTCATTTTCAGTGGACAGTCATCATTTTGGATTTGGTTTAATTTGGTTGGTATGAGCATTTAAGTTTATGATTATATTTCGTAAAAGCCAACTGCTGGTTGTAGTTGTGAAATCTCTTTCTAATCATCACTCTTCCTTCCCCCTTGTGGACCAATTGAGATTCAAAGCTTCTCTCTAGTCTTCATCTCCAACCTTTGTATATTCCTTTTGTGAATTGGACTGCTTCTTGTATACTTCAAGTACAAAATTTTCTATTCAACATCTGGTTTGTGAATTTTTTGTTGTTGTTGTTGTTGTTGTTATCATTTAAGGGTATTTTAGATAGAATCAGGATCTGTGTAGAAACTTTTTTCTTCTTTGTAAGAACCGTAGGACCCCCTTGATTGCCTTTGGATGAGATCTTGACTCACATCTGACGACGTAAAATGGGTACAGTGGTTGTTTTCGTAATAAAGCGGAACTCCGATGGCAATGATCTAGACGGACATGGAAATATTCGACTTTGATATACATTGACACACCATAACACATACTGTCCATGTCTACATAAGTTAACATGAAAATATTCATCTTTGATATATATTGACACACCATAATAACTATGAACATTCATTCAACATACCTCACGATCTTGGGGCCTGTTTGTTAGCAACTTAATGAGTTTAATGAGACTTACAACTTATTTGGTCACTTGTACATGAGTGTTTGGTAGTGACTTAATAATATAGAAAGTGATTTATTTGGTCAGCTCTATTGAAAATCACCCGAATTGTGTAATTACTGTAAAAATCCTAGCAACTACCACTAACATGTTAATTTTCAGCAAAAGTCATTTGAGAAATAGTATGTATGTCGATAGAAAACCAAAAATCGCCCCTTTTCTTCTCAAACAGGAGTACTGAATGGATGTACTTATCCTATTTCGTAAAATTTATGAATAATTTCCACATGATAGATAGGTTGTAATTGGTCATGTGGTTCTTAGTCTTCATAGCATATATCTCTTATCTTTATAGAGCGGAGAATATAGAAATATGCGAAAGTTATCTTATATTCGAAATCCATCATGGATCAAAGTATTTTCCTCACACAACTTATGATAAAGCTTTGTGTCATTTGAAATCTTGGCATGTGTTTATTAGCAGCTTAATAGGCTTAACTAGACTCGCTACTTATTCGGTCAGCTATACATAACTGTGACTGTTTGGTAGTGGCTTCACGATGTAGAAAGTGGCTTATTCAGTAAGCTTCTAGGGGGAGCTTTATGTAGAAAGCCAAGTTTTTCTAAACCTACCATTTCCAATTAAAAAAACATGCTCAAATCCTTCCAAACAAAAACCTTTCCAATCTATACAGACAAATTAATCTACATAGACAGTTTTTTTCATATAAGACTTAATAGAAACCAACCAAAGAGCTAATATATATACATGAAAATCTTCACATCTTAACATGCATTCTTAACATAGTAACACAACTTAACTAATAATAACACACAATAACCATGAGAAACTCAACACAGTTTCAGATCTTAATACATAGTAACGCACCTTAACACATGTTAACAAATAACGCTGATGTAGTGGCTGAATGACAGTTTTCGACTGTGTGGGTGTTGCTGCATGGATGATCTATATGCCTTTATGATCGGCGCTTGCAAGGGCATTTCTATGGTTCCTATGTATTTTAGAGTTTCTACAGAAACCAAACCCATTTGTTCAATATTTTAACAAAGTTTGTCTTAGTTTTTATTTAGTGTAATGATTTTTTTTTCAATTACTATAATAAACGGTTAATCCTTTTGATTTTGTATACATTTTTGTTTGTAACATCTCCAACCAACTGTACAAGGTATTGTTCGTTTTATCTACATTTTGGACTAACAGTTTTAGAACGACTTTGACAGAGGAGGTATCCAATTCTTTATAAGACAACTTTTTTCCGCCTAACTTTGTGGGCTTAGCTCAATGGGCAATAAGGCTTAAGTTGTTTTGGGATTTTTCTCAACGGTCACCGGTTTGAGTCCTGTAAGGCCATTGGAGATATTTTTGGTTGATCTCCAAGGGCCTTGGGATTAGTCAAGATGTACATAAGCTGGCTCGAACACCTATAATTTACAAAAAATACTAAGCTTGTTGGCTTTTCAGCTTTGGTACCATTTGTAACATCCTGACCAATCGTACTAAGATAGTGGTTGGCTGCTTTATCCACGCTTGGACTCATGGTTTTAAAACGTATTTGATATAGAAGGTATCCGTTCCATTATAATGAAACTTTTGTTTCCCACTCCAATCAATGTGCGATCTCACATATTACATCAAAATCAACCGATGCTACGTAAACTGAAAATCCATTTATCATTAAAATGAGTACGAAATAGAGAGAATTGAACATTTGTTAATTATTATACTATCGAGAAGAAATTTTCTTATCGTTACGCTACATCAAAACTAAAGCAAACTTCGTTAAATATTCATGTTTTGTAGTTTAGACAATGAGGTATCGAGAAATTTGACATAAACTTGTGAATGCACCATCCAAATATATTACAAATGTGATAATTCAATAAGAATCGATCTAAAATCCGGCACTGTTACCGTTAAGCCAATTTATATCTGCTATTAAAATCCAAAACTGTAATTTACATTACTAAGATTAATCCACATTACTAAGACTAATCAACCAATCTGTTAGGGAAAAAAACAAAAATACTAACATATCAGTAAAAATACCCATCATCCCGAAAGGAAAATTAAAAATGGGGAAAAATTTGAAAAAACTTTCACCTTTTGATATAATTATACCAATGCTAAACCCCTCGTATTTTTACGGACATCTTGGATTTTTACCAGGTCCACCGTAATAAATATAATTACCCCAAACCCTATTGTTCCCACCTCTGATATCGTAACAATTTGGATGATCGGCTAATACTTTAAAATTAGACAAAGGAATCAAGTTATTATCCCAATCAACGACTTGCATGTTCCTAAAATATGAAGCTTTACCGAACCCTAGACCTGAAAAATGGCCGCTTCCCATTTGGGTCATAGTATGGGAACCCGAAGCCCGGCTATTCACAATTTCTCCCCCAAATTGTACCATACTTGCGTGATCCCGAAGATGAGTGAATAGAGAAGCGGGCCAGTACCCAACCAAGATTCCTGATCCAAATTCCAACCACCAGTTCCCATGCTTTGGATCCTGTATCAGTTAAATTACATGTGTATCGGTTACAACACTTTAAAACCCTAGAGTTGCTTGATAATGTATAAGGGTTTTAAGAACTCACTTTCCAGATCATTAAACTTATATCAAACTGTCCGCCATTATATACAGACCTCGGAGATATAGCAGCTCCAATTGCAATCCTATTATTTGTCTGTATAAATCCTGAACACAACAAGTTGTAACACCCTGTCGTTTGATATGCATCGGTCTGCAAAAAGTTATAAAAAATATTTATATATATATATATATATATATATATATATTTGAATTTAGAATTACTTTTTTACAGTGAAATATTTGAAAACTTACTGTCCAATAAGTGAAGAACCTAGGGTAGTTGTCTCCATACAGCTCTGGGCTAACCTGTAGAAAAGAAATTAAATGGATTTTTTTTGTTCAATAAATTCAATTTGATAGGTAGGTAGTTGAGGTACTTTTATTGGCTTTTAATGGCATTAACAAACTTTATCTGTATTAGTATCAATATTATTTTTACAGTAGTCTTAAAACTATGAGGTTGTTTGTTTATTTTTTAATAGTTTCATTATGAGACAGACTTTAAATCTTTAAAAGATGAATCTTGTTTGGCAAAAAAAAGTTTGTCTCTTAATGGTTCTAAAACTCTCTGAATAATTTTGTATCATGGGTTTTCCTTAACCATTCAACGCCTTAATTTCATTGTAAACAATTATATTTCATTTTGCACTATATCATGAGAGCCTATTAGTTATTCTGACCACTTAATCATTTTGCAACAAACCATTCGGAAACTGCCAAACAACCTCTATGTTTGGTTAGCCTTAAGTTAGCTTTTTGAAATACTATTTCAAGTAGGGTTTTAATAAGCTCTTGGTTTTTTTTTTTTTTCATTCCAATTATGCCTTTAATATTTTTCACCATGTTTTATTTATTTATTTATTTTATATTGTCATCTAACAAGTTTATCAGCTAAATTATTAGCCAAGAGCTAGCTAATCCGACTCATAACCTAGTTTGTCGAGGATAAGCCTAAAATCATAAGATATTTGTCGTAATCAGAGAATCGATCCTGAAGTCGTTTTTTCACACTGATAATTTATAGAAAATGGACTTTCATGGGGGCATTTAATGCATTACCATCATGTATACCATATTTGACCATCGACTGTTTAGCGTTTTTTTCTACATAAATGTTAAAACACGTTTCAGATACAAATTTTAAGGGACATCGTCCTGCACATATCATTACAAGCAATTATGTCTTTTAATATTTTCTGCCCCCCTCCCCATGTCCACTTAAAATTTCTGAAGAAATCGAACAAACAGGAATAAAAACTGTTAAAAAACAAACCCATTATGCATATACCTACTTGAATTAACTAATGTTCATATTGCTTGATAAATTACGAAAATAGTAGTGAATTACAAATTACAGGGATGAAAACCACAATTTTTAAACCACAGGGATGAAAATCATAATTTTTAGGAAACCAGAGGGACAAAAAACATAATCTATTATTCCAATGAATCCAAGTTAATAGTAAACATAAAGAAGAAACAATAAGGATGTAAACTTAAAATACTTATAGGGGTAAAAAATGAATGAAAGAGAAAGAGAAAGGGGGTGAAATGAAAATACCTGCCAACCAGCTTCAATGGTGTTGAGATCATTGCCAAAAGAACCAGAAATAACCCAGATTTGTGATAGGCTGAATTCATATCTATTGGTGACCTTTGGAGCCCACACATTTATGCTTGCCTTTGCTCCATAGTATTTATTTCCACTTACATACCCAACTGCATGCTGCCATTTTCAACCTTATTAATTAATTTCAAATCATACTTTAAAGATGCAATATCTGATTGATTCTGAAGTCATACATGGGTTTAGGCTTTATAATCAAGCCTAAACCCATTAGACCTGAATTTTAAATATGGGTTCAAGTCTTATTATTAGACCTGAACCCATTAGGTACAAGCATTGAATATGGGGTTCAAGAATAATGGTTATGGCTTGAACCCTGGAGTTTTTTGTAAGGGTTCAGAGAAAACCCTTCTTAAAACATTCGTAGTGGAATTTTTTTTGTCAGCTAAGTTTATGAAAAAGAATTCCCGACAAGAAAAATCATTTTTTTGTTCGTGCAGTTGTCAACTTTTACAAGCTTTTTTGGCTTGTGGGTCCTATGTTTTATGGAAAAAAAGTTTCGAAGCAAAAGTCCAACCCTTCAAACGTATACGAACAAGGCCGACACCCGTTATCCATCGTATTAGTATTTTTGTACAGTTTCTCTTTTGTATTGAAATGCCAAATTCAATGTAAGCTTTGTTTTTGTATCTAAGGTCTTTATTTAACAACTTAATAAGCTCAATGAGATTCACAATTTTGGTAGTGACTTAATGATATAAAAAATGAATTATTTATTAAGCTTTTTGGGAGGGGGAGGAAGAGTTTTATGCAGAAAACCAAGTTTTTCTTTTTTCCAAACAAGAACTTCCCAATTAAAAAACACAATCATTTCATCTATGAAAAAACCCTCAAAGACAAAAATCTTCTCAATCTATACAGACGAATTAATCTACATAGACAACTTTATTCATTCAATACTTAATGGAAAACCAACCAAATAGACGGAAAAGTGTAACACTTGATTGGATATATAAATTTAAAAAATTTGACTATTAATATTTTAATAATTATAAAATAAGAAAATTTTATATAAATTGACAATTAATTGAATAAGTGACTTTAGTAGTTTTTTCTTCTTATTATTTTACAAAAAAAATGATATTTGTAATTTAATGATACACTAGAAAAGAAAATTTTGAGAATTTTGTATTCATATGTGAAGTAAATTTTTTACTGCATAAAGTACAAATCATTGTAGCAGTATTTTCCATATATCCTTCAATAGAAATCTATGAAGTGATAGCAAAACCATGAAAATCTCTACATACTTGAAATAAATATAACCAATTTGTATTGTGAGAAATGAACATTCATAGGTGAATTATTGAAAAAAAATTGAAAAAATAATATATTTGAATATGCATATGTGAATCGACGTTACAGATTAATCATATCGGTTCACATATGAATCTTCAAAAAGACTTTTTCAATGATTCACATATCACATTTCTTTGTTACATCCTCACGATATTTAGCTGTTTGATCTGAATCTCTCACTACAGTTCAAATGAAAACAAAATCTGATATAGTTTGGAGAACTAACCTCATGGCCAAAGCTAGAAGTATCTCTTCTGATTGGTTTTGGAATTTTCCGACCAAATTTTCTAACTGAATTAGCTCGTAAAATGTCTTGCTTAGTTGTTCTTCGTATTGGAATTGTTCCTTCTGGGCATAATTCACCTGATAAAGTCCATAACTGATGGATTTCCGAGCTCATTTCTAGTCGATCATGACCTTCTGGTCGTTCTGGTGGATCCTAAATATCAAAAATCGAAAATCTTAATTAAAAAAAAAGAAAGAAAATAATAAATTCATTAATATTTATTCATACAAAAAAGAACCCACCAATGGTTTTGTTCCTTTCAACTTAGGATGATCAAAAGCGGGTTGATGATAAGTCAAAACACAGTCTATCGTATCACCATCTGGGCTCTGTTAGAACAAAATAATTGAATTTATTCAAATGGGTATTTATTTTTATAGCAATATACATACATATACATATATATATACATATACATTCAAATATATATATATATATATATATATATATATAAAGAAAAACAATATTTCTTTTTTCTAAAAAAGTAATACCTGAATTGATTTGACAGAAGGTTTATTGATCTTCATGAGACGATTTTTGACCAATTTCATCTTGTTTGACTCTTCCCGTGGCCGGAAAAGTTGGTGGTCCGGCCGGAATTCTTTGGCTGAGGTCGCCGGAAAAACAAGTGAAAGCAGCAGAAGAATGAAAACAAAAACAGAAGTGATTTGTAAAGAAGAAGAAGAATAAAAAACTTGTTGTTTTTGTTGTTGTCGATGTTTGCATTTGGACCCTGCTTGTCTGCTTATATGATGAAAATGAAAACAGTGAAAACAAAAACAAGGTTCCTCTGTTTTCAGAACTGCCATCTCTGAAATGCAATCACTCACTCATTTGCCATTTTGAAAACATGGAAATGGAAACAAAATCCCAGTAAATGTTTCTCTTTCTCTTTCTCTCTCTACAAGTAGAAGCTCTGTTCTGTTTTCTACTATTTGTATATTTGTTTCTGACGCCAAGAACTCCGAAGGCATAAATAGGTATGAGTTATGAAAGAGAAACTTACTTTTTTGTGACCGAATTTTCGTTTGGACGAATTGCATGAAAATATATCGTACTTTCAAAACTTTCATTTTGGTACATAAGATGTAAAATTTTTAAACATTTAAATACCCGGGTAATCGGTTGAAGGTTAATTTTATATTAAAATTTAAACATTTGATTTTTGAAGTTTGAGAGAGAGCCAATGTCACTTCTTGCTCTAAGGTGGCTCCGCCCATGACTTACATAAAGATTTTTTTCCTTCTTTTTTTAATTTAAAAATAATGCGTGAGTATTTATATAATCTCTCGTTAAAATGTAAATTTAACTGAAAAATGGTTAAACAGTGAATTTGATCAAGAAGATCGGCTATTTTAGTTAATCTTTCGGTTATGAAAACATTAATAAGGGTTTTACACCTCAACTTATTTTAATTTTTCTATTTTGTTACCTGCTGAAAATATTTTCTACCAAATGATCTTTAACATAGTGGTATCGTAGTCTTTGGCCTTCTAAGAGGTCAGAGGTTCAAACGTCATCAAGATGAAGAGAGTGTGTAAGTTTATTTGTTATATTTATCGTATATAAATATTATACATTTTTAAAAAAAATAGATAAACATAAATAAAGAATTGAGAAAAGAAAATGGAAAATGAATTTGTGTAATGTTTTTTAATTTATTTTGGGTATGAAAAAGAAAGACAGTTGAATCTGGGTCTCAGTTGGTTGCTTTGGGTGTTTATCTTTCCCTCTTTCCAAGATGTTCTTTTTGACAGTTCTTTTTTCTATATTTATTCAATTTCTACGATTTTTTTTATTCTTTTTGTAATTTTTTTTAAATATATAATATTTATATACGGTAAATAGAACAAATAAACTCACACACGCTCTTCATCTTTGTTGGAGTTTGAACCCTTCACCTCTTAGGAGGATAAAGACCAAAGACTCTTTAATAAAATGATTTGTTAATAGCATATGCATATAATTTAGGGGGGCTAGATTAACGGCAATTTTAACTGGTCCAATACAAAACATGTTTTTTTCCAATACAAAACATGTTTTTAAGGACATCGATACGTGGGAACATTTTTTGGCTCAACCTAAACTCTAAACCCTAAAAATGTTAGGGGTTGTTTAGAATAATTAAGTGGTCAGAATGATTAAAAAACTCTCATGATATAGTGCAAAATGGAATATAATTGTTTGGTAATTGTTTACAGTGAAATTATGTCGCTGAATGGTTAAGGGAGAACCAAAATACAAAATCATTCAGAGAGTTTTAGAACAATTAAAAGACAGACTTTTTTTTTTGTCAAACAAGATTCATCTTTTAACGATTCAGATGTTGCCTCTTAATGAAACTATTAAAAGGTAAACAAACAACCTCTTATAATAGTTATTCATGGATAGTATAGTCTGTCCTTTTGAATAAACAGGTCTAGATAACCATTCTCAAAAAAGAGGGTTAGATAAGACTATTAAAATTAATGGGGAGGGGGCATAGATGATGACGGAAAATTCAAACAGGTCTGTCCTACTCGTTTACTTTTTAATTACTAATTAAATGTTACACATAAATAATATTAATTCCCTCCCAACTGTATACTGTATGTAATATGCTATACAGTATGTCTCGAATCTCGATCTTGAAATATTTGGTTGGTAAAGAATTCGGACTTGTAAAGTCAATAAATCGTTGAAGAGGAAACGCCCATACACCATATTTTGTGAATTTTTTTTCTAAGACGTGTACATTGTTATGTTTTTACGTCTTGTTTTAAGTTGAAAAGGGTTGGCTTATTATAGTTAGTGTTCTAAAAAGCTCGTTGTGGTGCATCGTGGCTTAAGCCTGTGTCTGACACGTTAAGCTCACGGCACGCTATCACCCAGTGGATGATTTTTGTAACATCATATTTGATTTTTCTTAGCCTACTCTATTTATTACGTTATTAATGCCATTATAGAGAGGAACCTATTATTACTATTATTATTATTGGTCCGTGCTTACTTTACTGCTTTTCCTAGGAGTAGCGGTTAACCCATATACATAAATACATGCATTTTGATTTGATCTGTCTAACTTGACAATTTAACTAATAGTTTAACTTAAATTTTTTTAAATCCACTTAAAATCATGAAAATTACTGATAATACACTGTTAGAAGTTTATAAAAAGCTTATAAATCTCAGTTTCTATGTATATAGAACGAGTTGTAGGAGCTACACTGCTACACCCCACTTAAATGAGATCAAACCTAACAAACTTAACTTTCTGTCAATATGAGACAAGCTGTCACACTAACAACCTTATTTAATAAGAAAAAAAAATAAGTTTGACACAGGTTGTTTTATATGCCAAACAAGCTGGATTTACATCGAACTCCATGGATTGGACGTATCTTCTGGAATGAAGAAAAGACTTCTAAACGAGTTGAAGATTCTCATAGATTAGAATTCCTCCAATTTCGTTAATTATGTGTCGACTGGTTTCAGGATCTTTTATCATAAACCCAGTTGGGAAAAAAAATATTACCTCCTATCTGATTCATACCAACAAGTGTTTATAAAACAGTTATCTTAGTTGCAAAACTTTTTGTTTTTAATTTCATAAAATAGTCATTTTTCCTTTAAGACGTTCATTCGAAGGGCTAATTTTTTTAATTCTTACAGGTTTCGTTTTGAGTACTTCCCGCATTAAATAGACAAAAAGGTTGGTAATTATACTTTTATATATAGAGAGACTTAGAATTATGTGAGACAAAGTTATTTTCGTGAGACCACTTCTTTACACTTGAAACTTCATAGCAAAACGCTGTGAAAAACGCTGTGAAGGTAACCTTCACAGTGTTTTTGCTATGAAGGTTCGGTCTTTTTTTTTTTTCACAACGTTTTGCTGTGGATTTTCAAGTGTAACAAAGTGGTCTTACGGGTCTCACAAAAACAAATTGGTAACCCAACCTATATATATGTATACATATAGGGGCCCAATCAAATGAGAACTAATTAGTTTGTGGTAACTGTGAGATCCAATCGACTTATTTCATGCATAATCAAATTAATATTTTTCGTAATTAGATTAATTAGATCAATTACTTTATTAATTGCTTTATTTTGGGTATCACATTACTCATGGCGTGAATCACAATAGTTTTCTAATTTATATTAATTTGTGGTTGAGATTAAATCTCACAGTTATCATAAATTAACCAGTTCTTCCTTATATATATATATATATATATATATATATATATATATATATATATATATATATATATTCGTACAAGGTCAACTAAAATTGTTGTATAAATGAAGTTAAAAGAATGATTCTTTAAATATGATTGTTTAGGTGTAAATTAAACGTATGAAATACAAATGAGATACTTGATTTAAATATGATAAATCATTAAAAACGTAAATTTTTTTTTTTTTTATAAAATAAAATAAAATGATGATGTCATAAATGAGGTAAGAAAATAGTAATAGATGGTGAAATGGAAGGTAAATAGATGGTGATGATACATTGGGAAAATGTTGAAATGTTGGTGATAATATGTGCTTGGAAAAGCTGATGTTGTTTTGGTTGTAACGTGTCTAAAGTGAGACATATTTGTACTACAACTCCTGGAGCCACTTCCTGGTCCAACTTCCCTTCTATTCTTTTCCCATCCAAGGTCATTTAAATAACACTAAATCTTTATGATAGGACATAAACTTTCATAATGTTTTTACTGTGAAGGTTTAGTGTTTTTATGTACATTCATAGTATTTTGTTGTGAAGATTCGGTGTTATTTTCTGGTCTCATGGGTCTTACGAGAACTCAACCACACACACAGAGAGAGATATATAGAGGTCTTATTTTGAGAACCCATGAAATTGTGATGACTTTGAGGACTTGTGCATAATGTATTGTTTCATATGATTTTTTTTTCATCTGAGACTATGATTTAGGATGTTGATTAACATATATTTGTTTCACAATTTTTTTTTTCACGTGTACTCGGTTCATAATGTAAACACTTTTTATGTGTTTGTAAAACAAAAAGTATACGTAAAAAGGTTTTACATTGTAAACCGAATACGTATGAAACAAACATATTTTGAAACAAATATATGTTAATCAATACATTAAATACTATATTTTTTGGACAAAAAAAATCATGTTGTGTATTTAAACAAAATCACTTCGCCCCTTTACCAATTTAGCTACAGAGCGAGGGACAAATCGATGTTTTATTTATTTATTATTGTTATGTTTTAAATATTCTTTTTTTTAATTACATATTAATAAAACATTATTATTAATTACATATTTTAATGTTATTATATAATTTAAGATGATGTCTCCTATCTAAAAATATGGTCAAGTCAAGGTGTAGAAACACCATGATTAAGGAAAGCATTTGGGAAGGAATTATAACCATGTTTAAATTTACCAATAAATGCAATTATATCCTACTAACCTTTTCAATTTAATATCTATACTATATTATAAAGCATTTGACTAAAACTCTTAAAAATTCTTAAACTCTTAAAAACTCTTAAACCCGTTCATCCCTATC